CCCAATCACTAATTAAAACTAAAAAATACACACCCAATCACTAATTAAAACATACACACCCAATCTCTAATTTGAAGTAAAACATACACTCCCAATCACTAATTAAAACTAAAACATATACACCCAATCACATATTAAAACCAAAACATATACACCCAATCACATATTAAAACCAAAACATACACACCCAATCAATAATTTAAAGTAAAACATACACACCAAATCACTAATTAAAACCAAAACATACACACCCATCACTAATTTAAAGTAAAACATACAGACCCAATCACTAATTAAAACTAAAACATACACACCCAATCGCTAATTAAAACTAAAACATACACACCCAATAACTTCGTGTGCACGCAAAGAACAGAACCAAAAGAGCAAAAGCCTGGATAAACCCATTTATCTTAAGCTAAATAATTTTGAAATAGCAAACAGAAGGGTAAAGAGTCTTTACGAGATAGAAAGCCAAACTATATTAAAGACAAACCTGGATTAGCTTAAATTAGTCTCAATCATGTTTTATCAGTTCAAAAGTTAGTTGTTTTATTTGAAATGACGGCACAGATTCGCTCAACTTTCCAAATAAATTGATGCACTTATATTGAGTCACAGCAGGAAGTGAGATTAAGGAAACGTCATGACTACATTTCTCCTTATTCCCCGAATGGTAAAAGTCAATAATACAATATCATAGGAGTAGAAAAATATATTTTAGGAAAATAACTGAATATAATTTTCACTGATAAGGTAGAAAACAATAATATTTTTATAAAACAACAGATTACTGTATCGCCACCGATACTTCTCTAAGACTGTTCAAACTGATTCCCATTGTGGCTAAAACAGTCACAGTGCTTTCAAAAAGAAATTCATTCAAAAAGTTTTAGATACAGCCTGTTATATTTATATAATGACATCCGAATAGCATTTAGTCTAAAGAGACCCGGGTCTTGTGGTAGTTTATTTTAGTTAAACTGAAGAATTAAGTTTACAAACATATAGTTCATTCAATTATCTTTCATTCTATAACAAATTTTATCTTACAAACCCAACAATATTTTAAACATTTTTTAATCCCAACCTCTCACTTCTGGTAGCCGGGTCCGAATAGCCACTTCGTTAAATAAAACCTGCAAATTCAGGAAGGGGGGAGCTAATGTCCTATCCTGCCTTACCCAAATGACACTCCTGGAGCAAAGTCATTTTCTTTCACATCAATTTTTTACTGGTAGCAAATATTTACAATTGAGAAATCATAATAAACAGCATTTCAGGCTTCAAGTTGAGTGTTAACAAAACTACAACTATTGAGACTTTGATTTTTGTTAAAATGTATGTTTTTAAACCAAAAAAATATGAAGATAATATTTGTCAAGATGGAAGTGCAATATTCTGAACATTCAGATATTTAAAAAGAACTATCAAACTCCATGAAAATTACCGCAGGATAAGATCCTTTACACCAACTCCAAACTTGATTGCTGTGGGTTATATACCCACTGCATATTTCAGAAGCCAAAACAATGTTCACAAGTTCATTTTATTGCCCAGATTCAAAATTCTATAAATTTATAGGGGTGCTAGGTCTATATATTTATCTTCAAATCAAAGGGCACTGGATGCTGATGTTTAATTCCTAGATAATCAATAACTCTCAATAGTTGATAGATCGTGTCATATGATTTATAGGTGAAACCTGTCTATAAGTTTTAAGTGTGATAGTAAAATTAGTAATAACGAAGAAAGAATGCAATCCTTATTTCAGGTTTTACCATAATTCTTTAACTCATTGCCTTTAAGTAAATGTAGTAATAGATGGGTCTAGGTTAAAGTTAAAAGTCCTAGAACTAAAGATTATTCAATTGTAAATTATAGTATAGTATAGGCATAGTAATTGTTTGCATGTTAAAATTAAGTTATTATTAGAACTTGTTAGCTAGGAGAGTATTTTGTAAGGCTTTAGGCTGATAAAATATAATTGTTATTGAAAGATTTTATTAATCTGGCTTAACATACTATCTAAAAATAATAAAAAATACTACCTTTTTTGTAATTATATTGGCTAAACTAAGAACATATGTATTAATACTATTAAGGAGCCACAGGCAGGGGCAGATTTGGAGAGCAAATGTGCACATGACTATGACTATGACACATCATACATGGTGACATGAAGCAGTACACTAATTAGACTTTCATTAGTTGAAAACATCTCACTCAGTGACCAGTCAGAGTCACTGTAGTGTTACTAAAGACACTACTATCACAAAAGTCTAAACTACAGTATTATAAATACAGTAGTAGTAGTATAAATTAGACTTGTTGACAAGTTAGTTAATTTAGTTAAGTTAGTTGGTCTTAAGATTCTAAGATTTACTCACAATTTACAAGAAAGCTAATTATTGGAAGTAATTTTAACAAATAGGCAGTGGCAGTAGTAGTAGTCTACTACTTCACTTCTACTTCTAGAATTAACTTAACTTACTACGTTTATGATTAATGATTAAATATCAAGTGAAATATTTTTAAAGTAAAATTAAACTATCAGTCAGTAGTATAACTCACATTTGGCTGGGACTGGTGGGAGGAGGGGAGGGGCAGGGTGAATTAATATTAATAAATATAAAATTAAATCATTAATATAATCACAACTAAAAATTAACAAGCAAATAGTGATTTTGAAAGGAATGACACACCCACATTATTTTGAAAAGACATAATAAAAATCAACCACGAAGCTGTGAAAGTTTACGTATACTTTGTAATACTACCGGGTACCAGTCTTTCCCATCTGAAGAATCCTAAAAATAATAATAGTAAGCACTGCACCTACATATACTACAACATACATTTATTTACATTTATATACTATTTCCATTTAATCGATTGGACGAGGAAATAGAATTTACCACAATTCACATTTTAGAACATTAACTGAGGTAGCTTAGGATATAGTAATATGCAGTTTAAGCAGCATCATTATTTATTCCCAGTGACCAGTGAAAAGGACAGAGCGGGTGACACATACACAGTAACCTTACCTCGACTGTCAAAGTACTACCGCCATAACAGCCGTGACCTGATTTGGTGTCAGCAGTCAGACAGAGGCTGCCTCGATTTATCCTTAGCATACACAAACTGCAACCATCACACCGTGCAGTGTTAACTATCTTGCTATATTTACGTAACCATTTATTCCATTACGTAGATCAATTGTTAATGCACAGCTTCTTGTAGGCAAGGCTGTATGTTAGGCTTTAGATATAATTCATCTATTATGGGAGCAATGATTTTGATTAGTCTCACTTAAAATGTTTGCAACTGCAGAATTTATTGAACAACAACGATTTAGTTTAAACCAGAGTCAGAGGCCACAACTAATAAAGATTTCCAAACTTTTCATGTCGTTGAAACATCCAATTTTACTTACAAAAGTTGGGGCGATACAAGATAGTTGCGACTCAATGTATTTTTTTCTCATGGAAACTCAAACTACAGACCCTACATGATATACGCAGATGACATAAATTATCCAAAATTAATTGTAACATTATCCTCAATGAGTAGCTATTTGAACTTTTTAAAATTTTAATGCAAGAAAATTGATATCGCAAATATCATCTAGAGTGGGGGGGGGGTCTCCATTCCCACGCCCACCCCACCATTGTTTTCACAAAATGCAGCTGGTGAATTATTACACACAATTTGGAAACCTAAGCTGGACAATGACATGCTACATTTAGGGGTCGTTCATAAATTAAGTCACGATCAGGGGAGGAGGGGGGTCGAGAATTTGTGACACTTTGTGACAGGGGGGGGGAGGGGGGTCACACATTTGTGACTCACTTTTTTATATCTAAAATTTTCTAATTTTTAAAAATCCTTATTAAATTAATTTTAAAAACATTAATGTGAGGTCAAAATTGCCTCATGTATTATAGGTACCACGAAACTCAGTCATGCACACCTTTTGCGCATTTAGAAAAATGACGCAAAAACTGTTGTGGCCATTTTACATTCAGCTTATTGATGACTTCACAGTTTTCTAATAATACTACATCTTAATCCATTATGTGAAAATGTTAAAGAATGAAATAAAATCTTTGTTTAGTTATGAAAATTTTATGTATGCTTTGATTTTTTAGGAGTGACGTGACACGGGGGGGGGGGGGTAAAGAATTTGTGAGGGGGGGTGGGGGTCGGAAAGGGTTATTTTTTG